TTCTATAATACATCAATAATATTTCAATGGAATAAATTACTTATTGACTTATTCATACTTCAAAAACAGCATCAATCAGTGATTTACATAGGGGGGATCAAAATAAATAAATAAAATAAAAATCAACCAGCCACCCTCCTCCCCTAACAAGTAAAGAACAGTCCCTAAAGTGCGGTGAGGTTTGTGGAAATGTGAACTGCTCGTTTCTCCTCTGACACGCCACATACCTGTGTGCTGCCAGGGCTGGGCTGGTATTTCTGGGCAGTCATGACACCGACGAAGACTTCTTGGACCTGGAGCCGGGCTTCTCGGTTGCCAGGAGGCCATTATCATGCGCCACCGTATTTGACAGGAATACGTATTTCTGTCTGTGTCCCCGCGTTCAACCCATAACCGGCAGGATTCGCCTTTAGTTTCTGCTGCGGCTTGGCTGCTCCCTGGTTTATCTAACCAGTATTAGCTTCTGTTCCTCATCTCCACCAGTCAAGCTGGCACTGATGTTTACATCCATTATCGTTGTCAGTAATGCCTGCTACGGAGCATGCCGCCGCCGTTGTTTTCAAGATGCAAACTGTTAAAGCCAGTCAACCGATTGCTAGTCTCGCGATACCCGAATCCATGACTCTACAATCGATTCATCTAAGGATTCATGGCTGATTTGTATCGGTTGAGGAGGCTGCTACCGACGTAGCCGTATCTCTCACTTGTCAAACCGGATATCCGGTCGTATCGGTTAATCGTTCCCAACCCTAGTGAATAGTGATGCATTTTTTAGACCATTCATGCCCCCAAATTAGAGTTGCAATGATCACAGGATACAGCTCGTACAGAGCAGACGAGGGAGAGCGTGACTCTGCATCGAGGGACTCGAACTCGGAGGGCCAAGCAGCAGCAAACCACCTCCCCCCGTAATACCCGCCGAAACCTACAGAGGGAGCCGTGTCCGTGTAGAGTTGAATATCCTCGGGATGAGTGATGAAGTCATCGTAGAAGAATGAGATGCTGTTCCAGGATGACAGAAATTGCTGCCACATGCGCATTTCCATTTTACAAGTGTCGTCTAGAACCATACGGTTGTGGAGAGAAGGAATGGATGCAGCTTTGGTCAGCAGTTGAGAAAGAAAAGATTTTGCCTGTGGAATTATGCGGATGGCATAATTGAGGTGCCCGAGGAGAGCGAGCAGCTGGCGTTTGGTGCACCTGTCTGTCAGGAGATAATTAGACAAGAGCAGCGAGATGCGCTGCACTTTCTCCAAGGGCAGTGAAGCCTGGAATGACAGAGCGTCCAGAGTGATGCCCAGAAACTCAATGGACATGCCAGGTCCTGAAGTTTTCTCTTCGGACAGAGGGACACTGAGGTCAGAAAATATGGACTTCAGTGTAGTGAGACCGTGGCAAGGAGGTGAGGACGGAGGAGTCAGGACAAGAAAATCGTCAAGGAGATGAAGCACGTAGGGGAGCCTGTAATTGTTGGAGAGGATCCAGCATAGAACCTCGGATAAAGAGTCAAAGATTTTGGGACTGCTCTTGCAGCTGAAGGTGAGGCGCATGGAGAAGTAGTAAGCCCCCTTCCAGCAGACACCAAAATAACACCGGAAGTCAGGGTGAATGGGCAAGACCTTGAATGCGCTGGTGATATCAGCCTCAGACAGCCATGCCCCATGTCCCGCCAGATGGATCAGTGCCATGGCGTGGTCAATGGTGGCGTACTGCATGGAAAAATCCAGGCTAGGAATAAGACTGTTGATGCTCGGGATGTTGGAGCCATGTGGGGAAGACAGGTCAATGATCAGCCTCTTTTCCCAGAGTATTTGCGTGTGGCGACACTGATGGGACTAATACGGAATACAGAGAAAGGAGGATGATCGAAAGGGCCTATCAATAAATCCCTCAGTGACCTCTTTTGCCAGTAACGTGTCGACAGTGTCGGGCTCAGTGAGAGCGGATTGAAGATGACACATGTGGGAAGAATCAGGAAGCACCTCCATGCCAGGGTGAAAACCGTGAGTGAAGCCAGAGATGAGAAAATCGACAAATTGCTTATCAGGGTGATCACTGACAGCAGCAGCGAGTGCACGTACCTTGATGGGCGTGCCGAGGTGACGTTCTAGTCATGCTGCTGTGTTGGTTGGATTGTGGGGGCAGGTGGTCCTGGCATGAGCACCCCCGCAGAAGGAGCAGACGTGCAGGAGGCGGCAGCCCTGATAGAGGGTCGGCTGTCCTCGCTTGTCGACGACCTTTGACACCGGCACGTTGACAATGGGACATGCGTCCTTGGCTCTGGGGATGACAGGAGGAGGAGGTGCAGTGGAAGACAGACGGTGGTGATGGTGGAGATGGCCGAGTGGAGCGCGACGGAGTGTGACAGAGTGCCGCGGGAGCAGCGAGGTCGACTAGTCGCTGCACTGCTGCGGGAAGGAGGAGGAGGAGACCGCCACTGGCTCCCACAGTTGTGGACGCGGCGTCAATTTCCCACCCGCGAGGACGGAGGAGAGGAGCCCTGAGACCCACTAGGAGTCGGGGTGATCTTGTTGATGGAGCCCAATGGAGAACCACAGCGAGACCGAGGGATGTGGACAACAGAGCACAGCTGGCTCCCCTGGGAGTGTCGGCTACCGGCAGACTGCTGAGACGGAGCCAGGATCACCTGGCTCAAACAGGGAGTTGTACAAGTCGTCGGAGTCGGACCCGGACGGGTTGACTTGCAGCACATGATCCATCTTGGTGAGTACACGAAAAACACACTTGCTGAGATACATAGGGTCACCAATGTTTGAGAGATCTGACAGGCCTGTGGTAGAGCTGTGCTGGTATATATACATTAGTCAGGTGATTGGAGGAGTGGTTGAGGCGTGGTCCTGCTCCTGAACAGTTAAACAGTTAACTCCATTTCTTTCAAAATAAAGTAACAGTTTCAGTAAATATGACACAAAGTTATTTTCATAAAAGTTACCAAATGAATCTGTAACACACAAACATGAGAATAATATCTATCCTGCCATCTTACTTTCAGATATAAAAGCAAGTAAGTATTTCCCAAAATGCTTAACTTTTTTTCTCAACATTGCTGTTACACAGCACTCAACGCTTTCTGTCAGGACATACACTATGAATTTTGAAAAGTTGTGTTTTCTTCCTCCATACTGTACTGGAGTTTATGGAGTTTTTGTAATATATAATTTCTGGTGTGAAAAGCTACAGTTTGTGTGAATGGAAGGCCCAAAACAAAAGCAAAATATTTGTTTTGGATATGCCAAGCTTATAGTAGACATGACTGTGGTCTTTATGTATTGTTGCAATACATAAAGTCCCACCCCCAGATGCAGACCGGCCAATCATAATGTAGCATCGGGCCGGCTCAGACCAGGGTCCGACAACAACACAGCTGTGCTCCATTGACTCTAATGCAGTCATTTCAAATTTCCATCATTTTCAGGCTGGTTTTGAGGATTTGGAGCTAAATGTTGTGACTGAGACACGTAGTGTATTAATGATACTTGTTACCTGGAGAGGTTGGAAAAGATATACATTTCTTCCCTGTTCCAAAACAAAAGTCAGACCCTGAAAAGTGTAGGGTTAGCTAGCTAGCTACTGAAGATATAGCCTACTGAATGTATACACATGCTGCTTTTGCTTTTTAATAATTCTAACAGTGAAATAAAGGCCAACCCTGCTGTACAGGAACCAGTGAAGGGAAGCAGGGAAACTTTGCTGATATATATAGATAACCAGCTGTGTCTCAACGCATTGTGTGCAGATGTTTCTGTGTATCTACTGGCACCAGAAGGGCTCTTTAGGACTAAGTACATACAGTACATGAGTAGGTGAAATGTCTGTCTAGCTTACATATGAGGTGTCTCAAGATTTAGGAACATACAATTTTATTGAATATAACAAAGTAAAAAGTCACTTGACATGCTGTTTTGTGCTATGACCTATTTAAGTGTTGGAAGTTGTTATTTATGTGACAACGCCTGAACGCAACACAAGCTCAGCATGAGTGCCGTGCTGTGCTGCTGTGCGAGCAGCGTGTTTGTCTGTGCGTAACAGCAGTCTGTTGGTTATTTACACACTGTCCATTTCAATAACTTTGTCAGCTGACAAAATGCACCGGGCTCGGGGTCAGGTTTGGTCAGGAAAATGCAGCTGAGCCGCTCTAGCGTGCTCACCTGTGTGTGTGGCGGAACTCCGCCGTGCGCAATACAGAGAGCAGAGGAGAATTGTTAACGCGTGACCATGTAGAGACAGAAATGACACGATGACAGAACACCATAAATAGTATATTGTTATGTTATTATATGAAGCGTCCGTCGCGCAAAATAATATCAATGGGGGCTGTGGGCAGGACATTGTTACACAGCTGTGCCTGTGACTTCAGGCAGAGAGACCGCTGCATCAGAGCAGAAGAGCACATTTTAAAATACATTTATTTTTATCAATTAGTTATTAACTTTCACTATTTTTAGCAACTTGCCCAATCGGGCAAGTGAGTTGTTAGTTTACATGCCCGACCATGAGTTTTACTTGCCCCGGGCAATCGGGCAGTCCTTATTGTTGAGCCCTGTAATCATTGTCTTCTGTGGCAATCAGCAGTGATGTGGTGGTTCACTTTAACTCTGTGATCTGTAGGCTTTAGCTTCAATCTTTATTTTGTTACCTTGATTTCGTTGGGGGCGGGCCTTAGCTAAGGGTGAATTGTATTCATTGATTAACACATAGCCTGCTCTTTTACATTAATATGCATATGCTTTGGTATTTACAGTAACATTCACTCTCATGCCAAGGAATCATTTCTGTCAAAGTAAAACCTTGATTTGCTTTGGACTGCAGCATTCTGATAACAAATGTCACTTTGACACTGAAGCAAGTTTAACTATGAACAAAACCTAAGAAAATGTAATGAAGACAAAGTGTGCTGTACTGTCCTACTCAGCTGACGAGGACACACACTTTCACAGGCACACACACACACGCACACACACACACACACAATCAGAGACAGAGAAACTAGCAGGCTATAGCTGGCCGACCCCTCTCCACAGACCAAACTTTATCATAAGTTGCCTTTAATGGGAAAACCAATGACAAGCTCAAGGAGAAGCCGTGGCCCAACGAAAAACAATTTACGGTCCCAAAGAACAAAAGAGAGAGGGGGGAATAAAAGACAACACAGAAGAAAGACAAAAAGCTGTTCAAGTGTTGGCAGGGACCAGATATCATTTGAAATAGTTACTGAGTGTTGTATTTCTGTCAGGCAGGACTCAGGACAACCTTGACCAGAGGGGCTAAGGCTAGCTGGAGTTCTGAAGAGTGGGACTGGCAGCTTTGGAATAAGAATATGCTCTCTCTGGTTTTGTCAGGGGAATGCTGAATATATCCTTGTGGCTGACATTGGCAGAAGGTCATGATGGTCTGGGAAGTCTGTAAACTTAAACGTGAAAAAAGCAAAAGAAAAACCCACTCCTACTGTTAACCCCATATCAGGGTTCCAATTATTGGCATTGGTTTGAACAAATTCAAACATCTTCCATGTTTATGCACTGCACTGGCCTGTCCCAGTTCAAATCACTACTCAAAACAAATCTTTCAAAAACGGCTTTTAATGTATGAATGATGTTGTTTGTATTTTACTGTAGTCTATTTTGTGATTGTTTTTAAGCAATGTAAAGTGTCTTTGAGTACCATGAAAAGCCCTCTATAAATAAAATGTATTATTATTATTAGTAGTAGTATTACTATTACAGAGTGACTATTTGCACCCCAGTATAAATAGCCTTGGCCTCTCAGCTGGGCTATTTTCACCTCTGTATGACATGTGACAAAAAACTTAACTGACACAGTCCTCCTGTCTGTTTCCGGTATGCTGAAACCATTTACCTCAGTGGAAATGAAGCTTTTATTTACTCTTATTTCACAGATAAGAAACTATAAATTGTGAAGACAGTAAAGCCTGCACTAAAATAGCATTTTAAGACTTGTGTGTCATTTATCCTTCAGGGATTTATACTTTGGGATTTATCCAAGTTTCATATGAGAAGAGGAAATCTTTGCTCGTTGCTAGGCTTATTTATACAATTGTATAAATTGTAAGCCAAATTGTGTGCCGTTACCTTTGTTAAATGTTGGTGTTGTCCCTGGCTTTATATGACAAGAGGAAAAGATCGCTAGCTGCTAGGCTAATCTATACAATGTAAAATGCCATAGGTTTGTGCTAATAACGTTAGCATGTAATATTTGGAAAACATGTTTAGTACAGGACAGTTGTTTTGTCAGTGACCTTTGTGAGTTGTAATGGAGCAAAACTGTGTGCCGTTACCTTTGTTTAATGTCGCTGTTGTCCCTGGTTTTATATGAGAAGAGAACAAGATCACTAGTTGCTAGGCTAATTTATACAATGTAAAATGCCATAGGCTTGTGCTAATAACGTTAGCATGTTGTATTTGTGGGGAAAATGTGTCTGGATTAAGTGTTTGTCTGTGAATGTTGCGAGTTAAAGTGAAGCTGATTTTTGTACTTGTGTTTGAAATAATCTCTATGACATGTTTAATGTGTGTTTTGAATCAACTAAACTTTACAGCGCTTCACAGAAACCTCTGCCGCCGACTAGTGTTTTCAACCTGATCTCACAGAAATACGTGAAATGACCACAACCTCTTAACACCGCATTCCGTGGTGGCAGCACGTAATCCCTGTTGAAAAAAACAGCATCGACCAGACCAGCATGGACCAGCATGGACCAGCAGACATTATGCTGGTCCATGCTGGTTTTTTCAGCAGGGATGAGTTAGGCTGTAATTATGTGCCGGTACCACGGAAGCAATGCCAATGTAAAGTCATTTAGGATCCACTGTCATGAAAAACACGAAAGTGTCCTTTATACCTCAACAATATGACAATGTCAAGGCCATAAAATAAAATAAATGTATTTTTCCAGCTTTTGATAGCGTAGGGCTTTAAGATCATTGTGCTGTGGGCGGATGAGGTGCGTTTGACTGCTGTTTTGTAGCTACTGTCTGCCATCTGTGGGCTTCATTCCATTTCAAATTGCCGTCCATCTGCCGAATCCAAAGGCCACAAATAAATAAATAAATAAATAAATGAATAAATAAGAAGAAAAAAATAAGGCTGAGCACGGAAGAACCAGAGAGGAAACACCATCACATGGAGCCATCTGCATCGGGAGGCGGCCGCCACCCCCAGCAACCCAGCAAGATATAGGCCTAACATAAAATAAATTTGTTATTAAATAAATTAAAACATATAGCCTACAGTAGATAAAAGTAGAACATGCTAAGAGTAAATACAAAAATAGGCTAAATAGTATCTAAGCAAAGTGTCTAAACAATAATAAATACTATCTATCTATTAGGCTACCATTCCACTCTGTAAATAGATTTTAAAATTTAAATACAATTTTAATATTATTTTTGCTTATTTCATTATTGTTATTGTTGGTTTACTTTTTAGTAGTATTGTATTGTCTGATGACTTATTTTAGTAACTATCTATAGTAAAAAAGAAAAAAACAAACAAACAAAGAAAACCATTTTATACACTGCGCCTTCAAAGTGGTCTCTGAAACTACACCTGGCATGGCTTGTGTCCAAAAAATGAAAAAATCTAAACTTTGTCATAGAGCTAATACAT